CTTTTTCCTGTTGTTATCTACTGCCTTAGCGACAGCACTGCCACCCCACAAACGCCTGTTATACTACAAAAACATCACCGTTTTGAGCGTCATCGCTCGCGAAAACAGTCGCTCAACATCATTGGATGTAGGCGGAACCCAACCCAGGTCGACGGATGTAGCCGTCGCGGCCTCTTTTGTAAGCGCAACCTCAGCAAACGATCGCTTCTTAGAGGTAACTTGGTGGTCCACCGGATCTCTCACTTTGGACGAGCTATCGGAATGCAGCACCTTAGCCACCAGGGCTGTACGCTCAGTGCGAGTAAGGGATCGCTCCTTCCCCGACAAAACCTTGACTATTCCATTTTCGAAGTTGGGGAACTTTACGGGGGGGGGGTGATAGAGAGTTGTGTTCTCGTAATCGACTAGGTCGTCATCAACACGGTCCAGCTTCTTGTAGATTCGACAGTAAAGGTCGATCATCGCAAAAGTATTACTCCATCGAGTTGCAATACCGAAAGTCGGCATCAATGTGTCGGCCTCGCGAGTCGGTGGCGATGGCGGTTTTTGATCGTGTTCAGCTTCGACATCAGTCTCTGCACCTTTTCAAGCAAGTCAGTGTAGTCGTTCATGAGCGCTTGCATCGCTAGATTCATCTGATGGCTTGCACAGCCAATCATCGGCACAGATGTTTTCCTCGCGATGGCTACGTTCACTGAAGCATGATCCCACACATAGAAGCACAGCTGAGTGACAGCATCTATTCCGTACGTAATCAAACAAGTCAATAGTGGCGTCGGCATCATATCAGATTCATCCGGCAATATCGAAAAGCGCAGCAGGAATTTGTCGGTGGAGGTTATGGCGATAATGGCGACAAAATGAAAACCATCTTTCGTCCAAGCAACGACTGCAAAGCCCATCTTCTTTCCTTCAAGTTGGGTCTTATAGAAGTCTGCACGACTGTCTCTAGCTCTAACATGTGCTTCTTCAGTGTGTTGACACTCAATGGTTTCAGGTGCGTGTACTTCCGCGTCTTAATCTTTTCGCACATGCTCAACTCTCGGTTTTCCATGATAATCCAGTCGAGCCAGTGGTAGACATTGCGCGAGAAATCATCGCTTTTAACGTACGAGTCCAGACACCGTGGTTTGAGGTCCATCATTCTCGGTGCACTGTCGAGCCCATCCAGCTCTACACAACTAGCTCTTAGTAATCATGAGACTACGCAAGCCGGTACGTTGGTCTCAGAATTTCTGTTGGTCTCTCTTTTTTGCGTGAACTGGATTGTTCGTCGACCCAGACGGTCGACTGGCGCTGTGCCTGTATCATACAGGCGCATCGGAGTTTGAGACTGAGCACCACAGACAAATAAAAACTTCCACAATAGACAAGCGCTTTGCAGGCTGACCACAGCTTGGAGCCCAACCCAAGAATTCATCAAGCTGTTTCTTCTTCTTGTGTTTATCAGCCCAGTAGTTGTTCTCGATACTAAAGCGTCAGAATATACCACCGGTATGAGTCCGCTATTTTGTAGGATCCAGAATGGATATCTTGACCAAATACAGAGTTAGCAATATGCTGCCTCTGGATATCACATCTTATAGAACTCAGTCCCCAAGTTGCTAGACTTGTTTGGCATGTAGATTTGCATTGGGTTGCACTTGCTACAATTGTGCATTATACCCTCATCGAAAGCCAAAGCTCTCCCTAGTCGGTATACACGCTAAAACGTCTTTTCAGCAGCCTGCAAAACTGGTCGAATTTTTCCTGCTTTATCTTCGTGACCCCGCAGCCCTCGCCATTGTTGAAATACAGAAACGGCATGGCCACTTCGAAGCGATCTCGCTTAATGAAGCGTAAAAATGTACTATGAGTCACTGCGCCGTCTTCTTCAGTACACTGGTGGTTGATGTGGCCGACACGGATAGATGCTATTGCTCAAACAGTAATAAGTGTGGTAGCTCAATACAATAACGAAGTGACATAAAGAGCAACCAATTGCTACATAATAACTAGTCATACGGCGAGGACAAAC